TTTTATTATTTTTTAATTACGTTTACTGGGATAACATTGATTAATACAATTATATAATTTTCAAGTAGGTTCACTTTTAAAATACTGTCTTATCTGCGTTTTTCACAGAGAAAGATTTAAACCGTTTTCCAAAACGTTTAATAAAGGCATCATTTCACCGTTAAATAAAATTTCTTTTTAGTTTTTCTCCTTATTTATAGAGGGATATTGAAAGAAAAGGGTCAAGAACGCAATATCGAAAGGTGGAAAACTTTGCACTTAACCAAAACTTTTGCCAAGGGAAAGTGCCACCGGCATAAACATATGGAAACTCAGGTAGGAAGGCTGCACCTCGCGCACTCCGTTATCGGAGCGCAGGCGCAGAAACTCACCTTGCGCCTCGCTCCTTGTTCGCCCCCAAAACGTTATCGCGAGCCTTGGTATACACTTGTGGTGACTGAGGAAACTAAGTTCTCGCGAGAGGTAAGTGGTTGCTATAGTTGCGAAAAACATCTACGGCTATCGCAGGTAAGACAGCTGTCTCTCCTCAGAAAACCCTGTTTTTCCGGCCTCCCTACCGCGGCCCTGCGGCCACACCCGGTTCCCTCCATCTCTGCTCCTGCAGCTACGGCCAGGCTGAAACGTACAGACCGCATCCCCGCACTCCCGTACTCACCTAAACGCTGCAACTCCGCAAAGCGCGGACGCTCACGCCTGCCCCAGGGCTCCTACCCAAAGCCAGACAGAAGACTCCCTTACCGCTTTGTGCCGAGATCCGCCGCAGTAAGCGCGACTGCACCCTTATCCCTAGACCACACATCATCCCGTCTTCTCCTACATCTAACCTATTTCTAATTTGACTCAGCCTGCAGCTTCTCCTAAACAGATGACAAGAAATGCGTGCCTTGTTGGGAGTAACAGGAGCACCTGTCTGACCGTCTGAACCATAACTTGTAGTTAGGCAGATTTATTGCATTCATTATTCAACAAATATGCTGCTAATGCCTCTTGCAGGCAAGACGTGGTGCCAGGCCCTGAGAGGTTGTAAGTATAACAGATTACTGTCTTTATGGGGGTAATTGAGCCTTCAGGAGAAGCAGTGCATATTAATAATGCTATTTGTGCTTGCTTCGTAGGTTAAGCAGTTTTGCTATGTTAGTGGTGTCGACTGAAAAATAACATTGACTAGGTGTTTGGTCACCAAAAAGGATTTATTGGGGTGGAGGAGGGGAAGAAAGGGTTGCAACCCACTGCATGTAGACATGGCAAGTCAGGTGTGCACTCTGGCCTCTATGCCAAGGTGGAGGAGTAGATATAGAAGAGAAAAAGAAGTTAAAGGAAGGGGAAGTTAGAACCACAGCTGTTTATTATAGAGTTCTTCCTGTGGGGTTCTGACATGTAAGGTTCTCATGATTACATAGAATGAGAAAACTTCCATAAGTCTTACCTTCTCATGTAGACCCTCCTGACTGTTTGCTTAAAGTTCCAATTAGCCTTTATCAGTGGATATTCACAAGAAATTTGAAACAGGTCAGAAGTTTAAATCCATTTTACAGAAGGTAAAACTGAGGCTCAGAGAAGTTAGGCATTTGTCCAGGGTCAGGCTAGTGAAGGCCTAATTCATGTGGTACTATTGAAAAGAAGAGAAGGAAACTAATACAAAAGATCATTCCAAATGTAAGCTTGATAAGAAAATCGTTGGCCACTCAGGTCTGAATGAGCCTGGAGTCATGGTGTTGAACACCTGAGACTTTTAGGTGACTGGGAAAATGAGTACTTGGAAAGAGAGTGTAATTATACAGTCTAGGGGCAGCAAGATATCTCCTGTTTTGAACCACCAGTCCTAGACACACTTAACATAGTATGGTCTAACTTACATTTGAATTATGTTAAGTTCCATTTTGAATCGAGTCAGAAAACATGACCTTTTTTTAAAAAAAAAAAACCCATATCTAATTTATTTTTGAAATTGTCTTTAGTGTTGTAAAATAATTAGAAAATATCTTTGACTAAATAAGAAATATGTCAGGACTTTTCCCAGTGGACTAACCAATCTATGTGTCTGCTTCTTTCCCATTATTAAAATATATTTTTGTATAACTGGGAAATTAAATAACCATTGAGTGGAGCTTTGCACGTTAAAACAAACAAACAAACACCAAAGAACATTACAAAGGGTGTGGGAAATGGGGAATTTAGGGAATGCCATTTCTACCCTCTTTTTCTGTGATAATTTATGCTTCATAGGTTAGTTACATGTATAAGGATCTTTTTAGCACTAACTGGTGGAATCATCCTCGTGACCGGCTCCCTAAAGCCCTGCCTGTCTAGCAGCAAAGGTTAGAAAGGGCACAAATAGTGCTAGATGATTGCATTTTCATAGGTTCACTCCGGTATTGGTTATGATGTAACGTGAGTACTTTCGCAGCTATGGTACATGAGGGGACAGGTTCGTTCATTATGTTTACAGAAACCAGAGAAGACCAGAGAGACTTTACCCAAGTTCCAATATGGAGCAGGTTTCATCAACAGGCAAACCTATACAGATCACCGTGACAGATGGATATGACTTGGTAAAGTTATTTTTGGAAATCCCTAGTTTATTCATACTTCTTGAAAGTACATTAGCCTTTGAACTCGGATCTCCTTGTCAAACATCTACCTGCTGGTCAGGGGAAGGTGTGTTCGGATCATCAGTGGGAGGAATGGAGTTTTGCATCATCCTGTATCACCAAACCTGCTGACTTTACGTGGCAATGGCACTTCCTTCTCAGTGTTCCTTATTGATAGTGTAGAATCAGCAGTTCACATTACTGTGTGTGTAAACTACCTGGCAATTCGAATGCTAAATTTAACAGGTAAAACAAGAAGTGGTTTGTTTTCCTAGACAGCAGGATCTGAATTCTTTCAGAGTTTCTCTTGTGATTAATTTTATTTAATAATAAATTTAAATAATAAAACTACTAGAAATTATAAGATTATTAATTATAAGATTAATAATTATAAGATTATTAATTATAATGAAACTACTAGAAATTATAAGAATAATGAAATGGAAAAATATTCAATATTAAGTCAAAAAGGTATAAAGTATATATAAATGTGTGTGCACATTTACACACATATACACATATATATTCACAACAAAACACTAGAAAATATATTCTAAAATGTTAGAATATTAGACCTTATAGTAATTTGTTTTACATATTAGACCTTATAGTAATTTGTTTTCCTGTGTGTTCTTCTTACTTTCCCAAATGTTCCACAATATAATTTTATAAACACAATAAATGTTATTTTTCAAAACTCCAATATCATGGCATGTAAATACAATGTTAACTTGAACACCTAGTTTCTTGCATTAAATCCCTTTCTGCTTAAAATTAAAAAAGATACCAAGTAATATTTTAAAATAAATCCAAGTCATTAGGTTAAAAAATAAATACAATATTGCATTTAGCTACAGCTAGTTTTGTTTCTACCTACCTCTTTTGTATTTGTGACATAGCTTGATAGGAAAACATGGAAAATTCTACTTAGTACAAGTCAAAATGGGTTGCCAGATATGTAGGAAAATTCTCTATTTGAATATAATTGTAAAATAGTATGTTTCTGTCAACAGAAAGGTTTTAAAGGAGATACTCCAGTTACCTTTATTCGTGCAGAATTCAATCAGGTGGTCCTGGGAGACTCTGCAAAAATTACTGTTTCTCCAGAAGGAACTGCAAAATACAACTTCACTAGCACTTTAGAGTTCAATACTGAAGGAGGAATTACTTTAGATGACATCTCCCACAAACCTGTGTTCTGTAAGTCCTTATGGTTCTAAAAATGTTAATTATATGAGTATGTTTTGAGGCAATTCTGAGATATTTAGTACCTGTTGTTGGGACAGATGGACACACCTTACCTTCTTAATCTTAAGGAATAACACGGTATAGTTTGAGTCCTACTTGCTTCTGGCAGCAGTCACCGTGGCCTACAAATTTTAACCAGTTTGTGTCAAAAACTTTTTGACATTTGACTGAACTTTGCAGCCCTTATCTCCTAAGCAGAGTTGGGAGCTTTTTCTTTATGTTCCTGTATTTAGGGTTGCCAGATTTAGAAAAAAAAACAAAAAACAAAATTTGGGACATATAGTAAAAAATTATTCATTGTTTATCTGAAATTCAAATTTTAAAATGGGCATCTTGTATTTTACTTGGCAACCCTCTCTGTACTTCTGTATACTCACCATACTGTATAGCAATTATTAATTTGCATCCCTTATTAAAAGAGGCAGTTTTTGAAATCTGGGCCGTATCTTATTTATTTCAGAATTTCTACTGCCTAAAAATATCTGGGACATAAAAGGGCTCAAAAAGTATTTGTTAAATGAATGAATGGATAAATGGATAGATGGTTTCTGTATCCATACTTTTATAGCTTCTAACTATACAGTGTTATTTCTGACATATTTTATTCCCACACGATATACTAATCTAAGGCTTTTTTTGTTTGTTTTAATCCATACTCTGTATTTTTTGTTTATATATATAAAATATATATAATTATATGTATAAATATGTATTTATATATATGTATAAAATTTTTTTTTAGTAGCACATCTTCAGAGGTGCCTACATAAAACCAAGGATTCTAAGATCCCAAGCCCAGAAAGGTGGGACCTGGGAATCTATACAGTATTATAGAGCAATGCTTTCCAAACCTTTCCTTCTGTAGGAGTCACCTGAAGTTCTGGGAGAAAATAGTCTTCACGGTTCCACCATGAATCACCAAATTCACAATTGCCAAGGGAACCGCACCTTGAAACAAAAATCTCAGGTGACTTCTGAGAAACACTGCTCCAGGTAGTGATTCCTAGCTTAGACCTTGCTGGGAATCGGTCACCCTTGGAGACGTTCATCTGACTCACAGTCTCTGGACATTCCGTTTTACTTTTTCTTTTTTGTACTGTGTGCTTTGCTGTCACCCCAGATAATGAGAGTGTCCTGTTTGCTTTCTTTCCCAGTATGTTTGATGGGAAAGGAAGAACTGGAACAATCTTTTAAACATGTCACTGAACTCAAAGAAAGGGCAATGCCTTTATTCCATAAGCAAAGCAGAGACTGAAAGCTAGAACTCTTGAACAGTTTCCATTGGTGGTGGTGGCATAGGAGGTTTTAATACTCTTATAAGTACAGAGATCTTGGGCTGCTGTAGATGGGGAGTTAAGACTGAAACCACTCTTCTCATAAGCCAAGGCTCTCAAATAGAATGGACTAGGAAGAAAATTCCATTCACTTTCATATCTCTCTAGGCCCTGGGTAGAGGAAAAAAGTCTTTTCTAAGAATTAGTAGTCATGCATTTATGCCAATCATTAAGTAACATATATTTTCTTAAAACACACAAAGAACATTTATATAATAGAAACTGGCCACATACGAGGCATAAAGCAGGTTCTGCCATGTACCAAAGAATCAAAAGCATACAGACCAAGTTTTCTGATCAAAATATAACAATCAACAAAATTAGAAATCAATAACAAAAAGATAGCTAAAAATTCATTTGGCAAATTTAAGGGACATTTATGAATATTTCATAGGACAAAGAAAAATCATAATAAAAATTGCAAAACATTTAGAATCAATCAACAGTAAACACCAAATATCAAAACTTATGGGTTATAGCTAAAGTATTACTTAGAGATACAGTATAAACATCTGCTCTTATCCACAGAGGATACATTCCAAGACCCCAGTAGATGCCTGAAACCACAGATAGTACTGAACTATATATATATATACATAGATATATATATAATTTTTCTTTTATACATACATACCTCTGATAAAGTTTAATTTATAAATTAGTCACAATAAGATTAATAGCAATAACTAATAAAATAGAATTAAAAATATGCTATAATCAAAGCTATGTGAAATGGTTTCTTTTTTTAAATTTTTAAAATA